AAGTCACTGAATAGAATAGACCAGAATTTTCTAAGTAAATATTGTTAGTAGAAGTGCCAAGATTCCCTCACCAAAACGTTCATTTTAGAAATGTCTGCAAAGGAAGTCACCATCACCTAGGGTTTATGTAATCTTCTCATAACAATTTTCCATCTTCCCTGACCTGAGGACAACTTACCTGCAAGGTTTTCTATCATAAACTTGCTGAACCAGATGCAAATACAGGTTTCCTGTGGTTTTCACAGCTGCAGTTAAATATTTAAATTTAGTTTAGAGATTGCACCTCTTTCTTAGGGATAGTAAATTTTTTCTTCATTTCCTGTGCTGAGGAATCTACTCAATTACTTAATTGTAGAATAATGAGCAATATTTTCACTTTCAAATATGTATTCTTGTCATTTTAATGCGATAAATGCCCAGAGATTTGCTCAAGCAGGAGGAAGCTTTATATATATATATTGAAGTGCAGTCTAGCTGAGCAGCTTGAATTATGCACCTACAAATGAACTGAGGTTTCATTTTGTCTTGTTGTTGCTACTGTCTGTAACTTACGTATAGTGACTTGCAGGTGGCTCGTATTCTGGAATGCCTGCTCCCCGCTTCTAGCACTCAGGGCTTCTCCTAGGCCTATGGGGGCCAGCAGTACTTTCTCCAGTTCCTGGATGTCTCACCTAGGATCCAAGGCTTCCGACCTTCTCATGAAAGAACTTCAAAATCTGGGTTAAAACATAGCAACCTTATTTGTCATGTTAATTTTATTGGGAGAATATTATGACTTACAAGTTTATGGAACTCCATCCACTACTGTTGCTTCCACCTCATAAAGACAGTTTGAAGCCTTCGTGTAAGAACAAGCACCCCAGTGAACCTCGGTGTTTCATGCTGACTGATTTCTAGCTTTTGATTTAAAGTGAGAGACATGTGACTCTTCCTTTCACTTGAACATTTAGAAGTCATTGTAGAGTTATTAATTTGTCTAATTTCAATCTTGCTGGGTCTCAGAGGATAGGAAGGCTCAAGAAAAAGGTGTGAGGTACGGGAATGGCCCATCAGGGTAGCAGTCAGAACACACAACATTTATCAATTAAATCTGCAAACTGTCTCCTTGGGGCTGTGCTCTGCACTTTGGTTCAAGCCACATCATGCCAAATGAGAATCGACAACCTTTCTGGGGTCTTCTGGAGAAAAGCATACTTTTACATGCTCTTCCCAGTGCCCTGTGCTGAGGACTTCAGACTGTGCACCAGGTAGTCGTCACAGGTGCAGTGGCCACATGTAAGAAAGACCCTGAGGTGGCCCCCATGTTTGCCAGGACAGTAGGATGCCGTCTTCAGACTTGGGCATGTTTCATTCCATAGCTCCTTCTCTTAATTACTCTGATTTTTTTTTTTGGTTGATTTTCTTTCTCCCCATAGATTGTGAGCTGCTTAAAGGTACTCATTCTGTCTTCCTTCTCTGGAGGCTTGGATGATGCCATACTTCCTGCTATTCCCGGTGAAAACCATCTCTTCATGACCTGACTCTCAACATTCAGAGATATCCTTTCAGACCACCTCCTGCCAAGCTCACTCCACTTTATGATACAGAACTGTTCGCTCCCTCCAGTAGAGCTTTCATGTGGAGAGCCAGACTCAGGTGGAGGTGGCCCAGACTTCACAGTTTAGGGGTTTAAGTGGGTGGAGAAAGCAGAGGAGGAGCAAATAACTCCAGCTTTTTACACTTTTGTTTCTTCATCAGTATGGAACAATAATAACAATAACTCTATCTTGCATTTAAATGAGATGAGTGGTAGCATAAGGCCCAGTGTGTGCTGAGAGCTCACTGCTGCATGTCACACGGCAGCAGTGTGGCTCCCCCAGCAGTAAAGTCCTCCATCAGCTGCACAAGAGAACAAAGGGAGGCTTGGGCTTTTCCCCCACCCCTTTCCCTTCTCCCTCAGTTAGTTAGTTTCTCTCCCTAGAAAAGAAGCGGGATGTTGATTTGTGTCTCCAGTGATGTCACTGCCATACAAGGCAGATCAGGTGCAGTGAGTTTGGATTTAAATACTATTTTTTCTCTCTCTGTGACCTAAACTCTTCCCTTCAATCCACTGGATTCACCACAATAAACACCCAAGACCCAAACTAAGAGGTGCTGCTGATGGCATGGGGAGTGACACAGTCCAAAGTAAGACCTCAATCCTGACCTTTCAGGCTGTGAATGGTAGAGGACCTTCCAGGGCCCACTGAGAAGGGTGCTAGACTTCATGACTTGGGCAGAAGGCTGCAGGGGAAAGGAATTAAAGAAACAGGTGAAACTATTTTATTTCAATAAGTGTGTAATTCGGAGGATGATATTTTGATACATCTTTAGTTGCTACTGCTAATGCACCCTTTTACTGGGCACCACAGCTTTATGGGTTTCCAATGCTGTGGTCACCATCAGTACAAGTCCCTGGTGATGGAGGGACTGGGTTTGTGCGCTGTGAAGGCGCGTTCTCATCCTAAAGTTATGCATGAACTTTGGACCCAAGGGCTTGTCAGACTTTCGTCTCACCCACCCACAAGTGTTCTCCACTCCACAGAGGCCCTGTGTGCCATCCATCTACCCATTTAACTCACCATTGCTAAACTGAGCTTCCTCACACATCGTTTGGGGTTTTTAAATACAGGTTTAGTCATGATTCAGGTTTTTCAAGGGCAATATATCAAAAGATGGCTGCCATTGAAAGGATAGTTTGTTCTTCATGGTTCCCCAGAGAAGAGTGGGTGTGCACACCATGGTAGAGGGGTCGCAGAGGGAGGAGGGTAACTGTGGGTGAAGGTCTTTATTGTAGTTGCCATAGGAAGGAATGGCAAGGCAGGACGAGTAGACTCAAGACTGGCTAGTTTAAATGCTTTCAGGGCTCTGTGCCATAGGGTGTGTTTCTAGTTGTTGAATACCCAGACTTGGGGTAGTGCCGGTAGATAGTGGCCTCCGAATGTGAGAGTCCAATAAAAGAGGTGTTTGGAGTGTGGATACTGGTTTGGTTGGTTTGCATATGAAGGGTGCACTCCCAGGAGAGGTGTTTGCTCTCGTTAGGAAGCTAGCCCTGGGAGGAGCCGTCCCTCCAGGGTCTGCAAGGCCCCCAGATGGCATAGCATCAGAAAACAGTACGAAACGACACCATGAATGCACTTCATCATGTCTCTCTGCTACATGAAACTGTCAGTGGCTTTCATTGGCTGTGAAACTGGCATTCAAGTTTCCACCTTCCAACCAATGCTGTAGGATCCAGCCTTGCCCACCACTCCACACTTTTCCCCCGTGAATCCTGCATTCCAGCAAAGATGCATTCTGCAAGATTTCCCAGCAGTCCTATAAAAGCTACGCCCTGTGTGTTTTTTTATGTCCTCTACCTCCTAGCTAGTTAGCCAAGCCCCATGTTTAGTGCCACCTGCTTTGTGAGAATCTTTCATTGACGGTGGTGAGGATGCCCATGGGGAAAACTAAGCACAGAGCTCTGCCCAGGGAGATGCTGAGAAAAAAAATCCTGTTTTTTCTCATCTATTCAAATGCTATCTCTCCTTCCAGTCACAGGTGGAACCGTTCTAAAGGTCCTCCAGATCTCTGGACCTTTAGAAAGGTTCTACATGTGACTGGAAGGAGAGAAAACATTTGCCTTTCCCTCTCTTCTGATTTTTATGGGCTTTACAGCTCAAAAACTTACATTGCTTATGGTCATTTAGTATGTATTGGTTTTATCACTCCTTTCTGCAGTAAGCACCTGAAGACAAGTTCATGTCCTCAGTTTGTCAATCCTCAAGTCTCTGTTCTAGCACTCTCGAGAGAAGTAGTAAATAGGCGTTGTTGGATTAGCAACACCGAGAACTGCCCTGTGAGGTGGCCAAGAATGAGCTGTCAGAAGATCTGTGTCCAGGGCGGCCTCCTCAATTGATTCGCCATGCACCTCTCTCCACCCACAGAGTGAAGACGCTTGCAGACAGACAGGATCTTAGAGTGTGTAAACTGAGAAAGTGCCTGTGGGGACCGTGGCAATTGTTTCCTTCCCTGGTTGAAAAATCTACCTCCTAATCTTTGGTTTTTCAGCTTGAATTCTTCTACAGTGGGCTTGAGAATGTCCTGTGACTATCACCATGTTTTTAGACTTAATCATTCTAGAATTGAATAGTGACTACTCCTCAAAATTGAATTTCTTTTTTTTTTTATGCCCAGCATCTGATTTGCCTTTTCTCCACTTTCTTCTCACTGAACTACTTTGCAAAAAATGTAAAAGTAGAATCACCTGCCCAGATATTTGCTTATCTTGCTGGCAACCCCATGAGCAGCACCATGGCTCTTCGTTCTCCCACCTCCCATATCCTCCTTTGGTTCCAGGCTCCCATTTTCCCCAGACTAATATGTCATCATCTCCAAGTGATTTTATGGCCCAGTTAATGAGGAAATCACCATGGCAAGCTGGAAGGAAAATAAATTGTGACAGATAGGGCAGAGAGGCCTCCCGATGGGCCATTGAGTCTCCAGTGGACATTGTGGAAGTCTTGTGTTTACAGCCCTCAAAGAGGGCAGAACCAGAGGAAAGTGGCTTAAATGGCAGAGAGAGAGAGAGAGAGAGTCTGCAGATAGACCTCCTCTGTTGTGGGGGTTGAAGTGCCTGTCTGCCTGGTGGGAGATGGAGGATCATCTGGGAGTACAATCAAGATGCCTGCCAGCAACCTAGTTTTACAACACCTTCATTTTAATGTAGTTATCTCTTCAATGGCAATTTGTCTGATCTACTTCTTACCAAAGTAAAGCAGGATTTGCACACATGACACATTGATTTATATGCGTGCAAAAGCTAGTATTTGCATTCACAAGAAAGCATGCACTTCTTCATTCTGTGTGTAAAAATGGCATCCTTTCTCGGGGATAGTCACTGTAGAGTGTAGAGTTCAACCTGAATGTGGCCATTCATTGAAGAAACACACCTTGTGGCTGAGCACAAACTAATGTTCTTTCTTTCTTTTTTTCCCTCCCAGGATTATACCTTAACCATGTATTTTCAACAATATTGGAGAGATAAAAGGCTCGCCTATTCGGGGATCCCTCTCAACCTCACGCTTGACAATCGAGTGGCTGACCAGCTGTGGGTGCCTGACACATATTTCTTGAATGACAAAAAGTCGTTTGTGCATGGAGTGACAGTGAAAAACCGCATGATCCGCCTCCACCCTGACGGGACAGTGCTGTACGGGCTCAGGTCTGTGTGCCTCTCCAGGGCCAATTTTGCAGTTGCATGGTGCATTGGTGTTGAACTTGCTACTTGAGCAGGCTACAGTAAGTGAGGCCTTGTCTTCAGACTAATTAGGAGCCATCTGTGAAACACTTGGAGCTTTGCAGGAAAAAAAAATCTCATAACCATAAGATTTGGGGCATTCCTGTGACTATAAATAGTCCCCGAACCGTTAAAAAGCAGCCTCCTTTGGACTGATGGTGTAACTGGATTGCCATATCTGAGAACACAGATTCCCTCAGGATGGATTTCCCATATTATAGCCACAGAGGCCTGTAATTAATATTGCCCTGACACCGCAGTGGCTTTAATAAAGTTTTTTTCTAAGCTTTTTGCACAGTTGAAAAAATGTCTGTTGTGCACATTTTCAGGTATAGTCTCTACAGAGCTTTACTGAGGCAGTGCCACAGATATTGATGGAATGACTAAGAGAGAGGCCCTGATGAAGAATATCTCTCCCAGGTCTCACAATGTAATTACTCAAATCAGGAAACCAGGCTGCCTTCCTGATCCCAGAGGAGGAAGCCCAGGGCTTCCCTGACTGCCCTGGAAACCGCCAGACCTTCCCATGCTCTCTCACTGCTGGTGGTCAATTATTTTGAATATCCCTTTGCCCTTCTGTGTCTTGCACTGATTTCTTTTTTGTTTCATTTTAGAATAGGGGTGTGTGTGTGTGTGTGTGTGTGTGTGTGTGTGTGTGTGTGTGTGTGTGTGTCTTGATTTCCTGGCCTAAAAGCACTCAGAGATTTGCTAGCAGTGACCCACAGTTTCGAGAAGGTCACATGGATAACTTGGAAAAAAAGATTTACCTCAAAATGTTGTGAGTCCAGAGTCTCTGAACTAAGAATCCAATAGCTATAAGTAAAATCATAACAGTATATATTTAAATTTATGCCACTGTGATTTTGTGTGCCTCAAAATGTGCAAAGGGAATTATTCAACATAAATGTTGAATGATTTTCTCAAAACCATAGTTCATAGAAAGAAAGTTGGGATTTTTGCAAAATCAGATGTTTTTAACCATAAGACCAAAATAGGTCATGCATGCCATGGTGTTCCTTTAAAAAGAGTCTAGCCTGGCATTTATATTTGAGCCTGCAAATGAGAGATGTGGTTGTGAATTCTAGAGGTTCTGTCAAGTCCATCAGCTTACAAAAGATCACTCAGAAGTCTTGTGGATCTGGAATGAGGAGGCTTTAATTATCCCCACCTGAAAAAAACTGGAGCAGAAGAAGCTTGATACGTGCGCATGTTTGTGTATGTTTGTGTGGTGCATGGTGTGTAAGTGGTGGTGGTGCATGGTATGTGTGTGGTGTGGTGTGTGTGTAGTATGTGGCATGTACATTTGTGTGCATGTGTGTGGTGTGTGTATGCTTGTGTGTGTATAATGGAGGGAAAGCAAAAAGAGGCAAATATCAAACAAAAATTAATCTAGTACTTTTTGGTTGCATAGTCAAAGCTTGTTATTTGAGTTTTCTCCATTTTTATTATTTCATTCTTTATTTTCCTGCCAGGAGTAAAATTTGCCACTATGTCTCTGTTAAAAGCAAAGAGCTTTAATTCTGTTAGGACAGAATTAAATCACACATATAAAAGCTCTGTAATAAATGTCCAATCTCTATTTGAAAGTGTTAGATTTCAGGTAAGAAAGGAAATTTTAAAAATGTACAACTTTTACTAACAGTTGGCCTCTAAGTTTATATGTAAAAGTTAAATAATAAAATAATAAGCTAAGGGAAACTTTTAGTAATAAAATGTTCAAGTGTGGTATCAGTACACTGCTTAGCTCTTTATTTTGAATGTCATATATTTGAAATAATTTTTCAGATTTACATAAACTTGGATGAACTGTCATAAGGCAAACCTGCAAACTACAGACTGACTTCCATATTCTGCATATGCTTGGCAACTATGCTGTGTCTTCTGACTCCTTACCAACTTACTTTTCTAGACATTTTTGCTTTTAAAGTGTGAGCTTTGGGACAAAAAGCACATTAAAAATTCAAAATGTTGATAATTTTGTTAAACTCATGTTCACACATACTCCTTGCTATTCTGTGTAAACTGAAGTACCATTTATGTACTCTATATTGTTGTCTTAGGTAAAAATGCAGTGTGAGGTTCACATGGGTCAGCCAACCTCCATTCCTCTCAGACCCATGCCCCACCTCCCTCCTCTGTGTTTTTAACCATTGTGCCTGCTGGATTATGTTCGTGGCATTGCAAGCCAGGGATGGGCTGGCGTATGTAGCCCTAGCAATGCATGGTGTCCTTTGGTGAACAGGTACTATGGTCTGAGCCTACAGGAGGCCTAGCACAGCTAAGAACACGAAAGTCAAGTTCCGCGTGGTGAAAGGTTTGCAGAGAGCTGGGAGTGTTCCTGCTCTCCTGCTTGTAAGACACTGCTAAAGAAGGTCCACCCAACAGAGGTTACGTTCTTACTACCTGTGTGCTTTAGATACGGGTTGGACTGGCCCAAGACCTTCAGATTAGATTCTCTCACCTCTGGACCCTGGGACGGGCTCTCACCAGTCTACCCAGCAGTAGCCTAAGCTGGTAGATCAGTACCACGTAGCTCCTCTGGTCTTCTTTTCTTATTCAAGCCCAGCCATTGCAGGAACAGCATCCATGAGGGTTTTTGCTTTCTCTAGGAGAGATGTAGACCTTTGACTGGAGATGAGCTGTCTATGACACAGGTTTGTATGTCAAATCAGCCTTGTTCTGGAAAATCATTAATCCTTAACTCTGATGATTCTGCAAAAGGAGTAGATGACTTCTCACAGAGATGCTTGAGAGATAAAAGGTCATCTAAGTCATGAACCATTTTTATATGACTCTTGTAGTCCTTTGAGCTTGAAACTTAAGTCCATGCTAGCTTGTGCTCACCAGCTTGAGTTCAACTGAGAACAGCAGTGACCTGAGCCCCTTGCCCAGGCTCCAGTTAAGCATGTGAAGGGAAAGACTGCTCTGGATACGGTGTGCAAACCATCCTAAAATAAAACATGAGTTCTTTAAGTGTTCTTTGGGAAATCAAATGTTAAGGAACTAGAAAAATTATGGCTAAGAGACTCACAGGCCTTAGTTTTATCGCATTCACTGCTTTTCTGTTTTCTTTGATGCCCTGAAGTGTTCTTCTGTCTGTGACAAGGTGGCATCATCATCCCTCTTCCTGACTTTCTCTTTTCCTTTCCTGGCCCTCACTGAACATCTCACCTAGCACCAGCAAGTATGCTTTGTCACGTGACCTTTTTTCATGCCATGCATTTTGTATCTCTGGGCCATTTATCTGATGTGAAGAAATGGTAAAGTGAGAGTCCCACAATATTATTCAGTTTGCTCCAAAAAGCACTTGGAAGTCTTAGGCTGAGTCATCAAAACAAAGTAATTCATATATTGTTTGAGAAGCTTATTGCAAAGTCTGCCGGAAAATATACTGTAATGTTCCCACTTGTGGCTAAAATTTGCTTAAAATTATCATAGTTGTCATTCTTAGACCTAAAAGATTGAATGCAGTATTAACATACAGCTAGAACTTCTTTCAGAAGACTCAAACTAAGTCATTTAATTGGTTTGGTTACCATTTATTCTGGAATTGTATTTTATACAGTGGTTCTGCTCAAATACTCACTCCCCCAGAAGAAATGTAAACACACAGACGTATGAGAACCCACATGCTTTCCATGCCTAACGCACAAACTCTCGTTTGTCTCTATCTCCAAGCAAGTCTTATGCAACTAAATAACACATTGATAAATTGCTTTCCAGATGAGATTATGCCAATTTATGCTCCAACAATAAAGTATATATTATCTTTGGAACTGTGATACCTGCTTTGAATTTTATCATGATTCAGGCTACTGTAAATAATCTATTTTGTTCATCTTTCAAGGTTAGTGAAAATCACGTCTCCCTTTAATTCTGGCTCATACATTCCTCTACAACCCCCAGCATGTTCATTCTCCTCATCCTCAGGAGAACTTTTCACTTCTCAAACTCATTTGATGAAGCTACCTCATACTTTAATTGAAAACACAGTAGTGTCTCCATTTTTTTCATTATGAAGAGACCATCCGAGCTGTTTGGTGCTCACTCTTGGCTCCTCATTCAGAATGGAGAGCAGGTCCCTGACCATTCCAAGCATCAGGGTCTCCTTGGCATCCCCTCACTCCTCAAGGACTTGGCCCCGTCGTTCTAACCCTCCCTTCTACTTCTACTCTCCTTTTTCAGTGTGCTTCAGTGTGCAAAGTTTCCTTCTGCTCTTCAGGAATATCAGGAATGTCAGTTTCTTAGGGCCTTTGCACCTGCTCTTTACTGGACACTGAATACTCTGTCTCTAGATATTCATGTTTTTGTCATCATTATAATGTAATTATGCGCTTGAGGACAGTTCACCTTTCACCCTCACAAAAAGAACCCTTCTGATCATTCACTCACTCTATTACATTACCTGATCTGATTTTTACCATAGCACTTACTCACATCTGATATTATCTCATCATTTTATTGCATTTCATATTTATTGATTTGCTGTTCCCATATATGATGATAGGGAAGCCATCATGAGACTATAAACTGTAAGAAAAGAACTGTTTCTGTTACATTTTTCCATCCCCAAAATCCAGATTAGTCCTTGGTGAAAAATATGTATACATTTTGCTGAGGGTTAAATTTGGCTTCCAATTTGCCTTTTTATAACACTTCTGTTTTCACATTTTCCATTTAGATTTCCATTAAAACTTATCTTGATGTAGGATGTGAGGTAGCGATCTAATTTTTTGTTCTTAAATGCTTAGCTATTTGTCCCAATACTTACTAGTTAATTCTTCCACATTAACTTTAGTATCATTTATTTTACCATATTCCTAAAAATTTTGCTCATTGTATTTGTTAGACTTATGCTCATTAAATATTACTTTAGGATAAACAAAAGATATGTATATTCGGTTTTTTCCAACATAAACATGGCA